CCGATCAGGGGTTGGGGTGCCGCACCCTGTCACACACAGAGCGCAGGGGATCAGGGATGGGGAGCTCCCCCTATCAGGCACAGAGCAGGGCTGATCAGGGGGTTGGGGCGCCCTCCCCTGTCATGAACAGAGCAGGGCGGATAGGGAGGTTGTGGCCCTGCCCCCTGTCACACACAGAGCCGCAGGGCGATCAGGGGGTTTGGGCGCTGCCCCTGTCACGCTGATCCCGGTGCCGGGAGGCCTCGCTGCTCCGCTGATCCCGGTGCCGGGAGGCATATTACCCTTTTCCTATATAGAATAGAGGCCTGGTGCATGGGTGGGGTCGGCTGGTTTGCCCTGAAGGGTGTCCTGGATCAGGGTGGGGGTCCCCACTGGGGTGCCTGGCCAGTCTGGCTAAGGGGCTGAGGGCCGTTTTCAGGCTGGCGGGTGACTGAAGCTCCCAACTGCTCCTTTTTTTCTTTTCTTTTTTTTTTTTTTCTATTCTGGGCCAGCTTTAGCTCTGAGGCTTCGCTGCTGAAAGCAGGTTTCTGGCCTTTACCTTCTGTATTTGATACAATGTTGCGGTCTGGCTGGCTGAAAGCCGGTTTCTGGGGTTTTGTTTAGCTTCTATATTTGCAACATAGTTGCTTAGAGTTGCAGCTGAGAGGCCGGCAAGTCAGGCGGGGAACGTTGGAGTCTGCCATCACTGGAGCAAGCAAGCCTCCCTGTTTGCTTCAGTGCATGGCTGCTGGCCGCCATCTTGGCTGACAGTTAATTTGCATAAGGATATGCTGATTAGCCAATGGGAAGGGTAGCGGTCGTACGCTAATTACCATGTTTCTCTTTTATTAGTGTAGCTATCGGTATTGGCCCACACATCTTGTTTTTGTGTGCTTAACATTGTTTTAGAGAGTTATTCATTTATTAGAAGTGTTAGAGTTTATTTTTAATAGCTATGTAGTATTCCATTGTAAGAATATGCCATAGTTTATTTCCTGTGGATGATTCTTTAATTTCCTCATTCGTAATTTTTTTGTGTCTTTGGCAAGTATTCACCAAGGTTACGTGCAACCTTATGAAGCTCTTTTGTTTTAGAGGCTAGTGAATGAATAATGTAAATTTTAGAGGCTTTTAAAGAAGATTAGTATTCTTATTTTTGTTGCCCTCCCCCCTTTTTTGAAGAGAAAATAAGGCACAAAACTTGAATGACTTTTCCAAGAAATGGCTACAAGGGGAAAAGTATATTTCTTAAGATGAATGAAATCTTAGTCTGTTTCTCCATGATACTATTTTATGGTATGCAAGATGTTACCCTTATCATACTTTTTATGCTCAGAGAAAGAGAATTGGAAAAGAGAATGTGAATTGAACCATTGTGTTGTGGTAGAAGTTCTGG